AATGTATTCAACAATGTTCCGTTTCACAAGTAAGTGACTAAAAACTATGATTAATTACTATTTGCTTCTTTTCTTTTCCTTTGATATTTTTTCATACACTAAGATAAAAAAGTGTCGGACGTGTCGTTTTTTACCACACATTAAAGCGTGACACATTTTGAAAACGTAGTTCGAGTCTATCCTCCAGAACACCAATTATTTTTTCTGAAAATTCAAAAAATTAAGGTGTTGTCAGTTTCATTCGTGTTAGTAACACCTATACTTTCAATCCAAGATGGTACGATTTTAAGATCTAGTCGTCTCCAATCTATTTGATCTCGATCAGATGGCTTCAGGTACTTCAGTCTCGATCTTCGATCGGCCTCTTGAAATGTTTTCGAACAATGACTAATTCAGAAATAGTCTAAAAAAATGAAATTCGACAATCGAAAATTTTAGTCTGTTCAATAGTGTCGGTCAAATATAAACTGTACGCGTGAAACAAAACGGTGAATGAATGATTAGCTGATAGACTACGACATATCTATAGGACGACACATTCTGATTGAGATGCATTTTCGTTGTAGAGTATGCGATACTATCGCGAGCGATACATGAATACGGCACATTTTATTTTAGTGTACGCCTTGGGCTGCGCAATAATAGCAATCTACTTTGGTTATCAACCTTAGCTATACCAATGCCTTCGTTTCGAGAACAAGTTCTGAACATAGTTTACTGGCTATTCAGTAAGTGCAATGAATGTAATAAAGTGATTATAACACATAATGGAAGTTGTCTTTTGTTTTTCTTTGCAAATTTAGTTACTGGTGGTGTCATATTTCTGACCGCCTCAATGGAATATTTCATTTGGACGATTAGTGTGAAACGACAGATATTTCGTATGAATGTTTTCCTCTTTCAATCACTTGTTCAACGCGTATGTCAAATACACATCTATTGAAAAAAAGAATGTTTTCTAAAAGTTTGACTTCAGTCACTTCTTAGTGTTTCTGTAAACTTATAACACCTCGTGCTCACTTTTTTAAAGAAATCGTCACCATTATCAAATTAGCCATACTAGCGAACCCCATGAAATAAGCTAAAGTATCTAGATAAAAGTTATATTTAAATAGTTAGACATTGCTACATTTATTGGACTTCTAAATCTGAAAACAAGGATTCAAGACAACAATGTAAATCTATGGTAAATCTTGCTGTCATCCACAACGCACATGCTCTCTTAGAAGCTGATACATATACAGTCATATTAAAATTTTATATGACTATTGCGACCAGTTACTATTTTTAAAAGTCACTGTCAGCTTTAATATACGATGGTTATACAAATATGAAGACAGACATCTTCATTATTAATACACTCTTACAAATAGTGAAAGTAGTAATATTTTAGGGAAACTGAAGTTTAGATAATCTAATTCTAAAACGATATTATGCAAAAATCGATTAAGTCATGCAGATCTTTCAACTGTATTACATATTCCCTAGATTACTGTGCATCAAAATGAACTGAATCTATTCAAAGAAGTGCGACTTCAAGACTCTATGGTCTTTTTTTATTTACAACTGTATTTAAAAAAAAGACACCTTATTTTCAAAAACGGTGGGATCTTGGCAGTCTAACATACAATCTCAATCTTTCCGTGATGATGGAGAGCAAGTCTTCTCCACGACACGAAACGCATATTTCACGCAGCGATTATTGATTCATTGTCGATGCTCAGTAATGGTCTTCAAAACTGTGTCGGATTACTATGTAGTCAACGAGACATTAACTTTCAGCGATGTGCAGTGCATAATTATATATTAGAGCACATAGAGGCATACCTTCTTTTGTTTAAGCAGTAGACGATCTTCTGGGGCCTATTAAGGTCATTAGATATAGCTCATGGTATATACATATATACTTTTTATTTTTAAGCAGTCAGAGCTCTTTGGAGATCATTACATGTATCTCATAGGATACAGTTTTATAATGATTCTAATACTAAATCACTATGAGATAAACGTAAAGACTCTCATAGACTCCCGAAGATCTCCACCGCTGAAAAATATAAGATTTATATTTATACACTCTGAGCTATACCTATCGATCTCCATTTCAGTTTGAAATCGAATGCATTTCTTTTGTAAGTCAGATTGAAGTTAAATAAACTGTAGTATACATTTCAACTCGAAGTAGGCACGTTTATCTACGGAAATTGTAATTTAGTTGAGTTGCCTTGCTGAGAAACTTTTCTGGATGTTCTCTTCTGATTTTGAATAATCTGTTGTCGATAGATACTATATAGTATTCTATTAGAAACTCTAAGACGATGACATTTCCTATTGAGATTTGGAGTAGCTATTGAACTTTAATGATCTCTATTTGCCAGAGGTGCCTGCCCGTAGGACTCCTGGTGGTTAGAAAAATCGTGTTTTTTAATTTTGTCTTGAAACTTTCTTTATTGAAGTGTCTCATATACAACACTTTGTATGAAGAAATTCAGAGTTTTAAACTTAGTATCTTTGTGATAGCAAGTTTTCAAAACACTCATGTATTATTTATTAGGCTTTGAAAATCATCTGTTTTAGAAATGTTTGTATCTCAGAGAAACGAAATCTAACAACTTGGAAGTATTTTATGCAAACTTTTTTCAGAAAACGTGTCATTTTGTAGAAATCTCTGGTAAAATAGATATTTTCAAAATTCAATAACTTCTTCAGATCTCAATGAGAACTGATATCCTTTCACAGTTTTTTCGAAAATGCTATCTAGTGTCTATCGGCAAACTGTAATTAAAATCGAAATGAGACATCCAGGAAGATTCGCCCGTCACATCGTTGGTAGAATAGAACTTGATATTTACTGGGTACAGTCTCACTAGACGTATCGTTGTCTTACATCAAAGTTGGAATGAAGTTAAAGCTAATAGATTTTTATCAATCATAAATGAATATTTCTTGACCTGCCAATATGTCAAGTGAAAAGAAAAGAACCTGACATGTACAACATCCACCATAGAAGCAAATATAAAATGCTTCAATTTTTTAGAAAAAGTCAGGCGGAGGATGATTCTGTATAGCTAAAATTACATCGCAGTTATATAAATATAGATGAAACCAAATATGAGAAATAGAAGGCGAATAAGAATGAAGTTTAGTCGAATTAACCCATCTCTGACCGTTTCTCTCTTGCTCGATTTGTAGAACATTTCTTATATGGATTCAAAGTCGTCTAGTCAACTCAATTCTAAACTATTCGAGTAAGTCATAGTGATATTTTGCATCAAATAACTTCATTTGATTCGATTCTTGTACAGTAATATTGCAAAGATTGAGAAAGGCATTGGGTTTGAATTCTTATTAATCATGGTAGTGTTTGTCGTCTTCATGGGTACTTTAATTGTGTCTTTTATGGTCAGTTGGCAATTGACTTTGATTATGTTATGTTTGATGCCGTTCGTCATTGCTGGTCCATTTTTGTTTTCTAAGGTATAAAATATTGTTTAATGTAATTATTAAATCTGTATGAATTGTCATAGATTACTGCTAAAGAAACAATGAATGAGTTAATGTCATATTCAAAAGCGGGACAAATTGTTCAAGAAGTGTTTAGCTCATTGCGAACTGTTCTTTCTCTCAATGGTACCAAATTTGAGCGAAAGCGGTAAACAAATATACAAAAATTATTTAGGGCATATCTAGAAGTAATGGCAGAGGTATTTTAATTTCTTATAAAAAGTTTAACGAAATCTTTTCTTTGTATGATCCAATAGTAAAAAAGATACTCTACATTTCCCTGATATTTTGATCCATTCTTCAACGAAAATTATAATAATAAAATGTTGATAATAGTTATTTGTTATTTGTTATGAATAGAGGTGTAAGCCATCCAGCTGCGCCGCCGCCGCCGATTTTTTCCAAAAATCAGCCGCCGTCGCCACGTAATCGTAGATAGTTCTACGAATTTTTGAGCCGCCGCCGCTGTGAAAAAGTTAGTTCACCCGTTGCGCCGCCACCACGAACGAAAATTTCTGATAATAGTATGATGCACCGCCACCATTGACATCGATACATAAGCGATCGGTCATTTTCCTGTCATTTAGGAGCAAAAACGTTTTATTTGTGTTTTTTTTAGTTGTCAAAGCCGCCGTCGCCAGTGTAGAAAAGCATAGAGTTTAGTACGCGCCGTCGCCATAGAAAAAAAAATTAACCATTAAACCAGCCAACGCCTTTTGACCCGTCGGCTTACACCTCTAGTTATGAAATGTGATCTTAATATTAGATCACATTTTCTCTTCGATATGTATCGTCTTTTTGATGCTCTCTTATTTACTCTTTTCTTGTCTTCATAAATACCTAGCCGTCTATACATACTACGGTATAGAAAAAGTAGTGGTAGTAGAATAAAAAAAATACAGAAAGAAGCTCATCAAGTCTGTATTGTATTAAATGTTTGAAATCGTCGTCCTAGTTATTTACATGCAAGTGCATTCGTTGGTTCCATTTATCGAGCGCTTTTTTTGTACTAGCTTTTATTTAAAGAATTCTTGAACTTGGTTGTTGCATGATGCAACGATTTGGAATTATTTTGATCGCACAGACTTTCCTTGATTAATTTTCATAATTAAAAATCTTCTGATTGCAGATCCACACAATTACTGAACTCAAAGCTTGATGAACTTGTTCCTGTATTTTGTTTTTTTTGTATAGACGGCTAGGTATTAATGAAGACGAGAAAACAATGAGAGAAGAATAACAAAGAGAAAATCAAGAAAAAGATACATGTCGATGACAAAACATAGCCTAATATTACTTTCGCATTTCATAACAGACATCTCTTATTGTAATTGTATGATTGTGATTTTAGTTGAAGAATAACCAAATACCAGAGAAACGTAGATCATTATTTTTTTCTATCAAAACATAAATAAAGAAAGTTTCTTTAAACTTTTGTAATGAATTAAAATACTGCCGCCCCTACTTTCGATAGGTCCTGAGTAATTTACTTATCTAATATGATAAAGCTTGGTATTATTTTTATTGCATTTAGATATGAAAGAGAATTGCATCCTACTCGTTGGAGTAGTATACGTAATGGTGCAATATTCGGAATTTTTATTGGATGGCTTTCTCTGACAACCTATTTGGTTTATGCAATTGCTTTTATCTTTGGTTCTCTTCTTATGTCAAACGAAGATCATCATAGATTAACTATTAGTGATATTCTTATCGTGAGTAATTCATAGCATTTGTCATAATGTAAATGAACATACGCGACTAATATCTTGATGCAGGTTGTCTCCGTCTTCTCACAAGGTTTTGCTTTCTTCGGTTTTCTTGGTCCTTTCTTTCAATCGTTGGCAGAAGCTCGAGGTGCAGCAGCATCAGTGTTTCGACTTATTGATGAGGTAAATCTGAAAGACATGAGATGTCATATCAATATCAATGTTCTCGATTTGTTTACATGATATAGGGAAAAGACGAGAGTATCAATGAAAAAGAAGTATGGCAAGAGGATACAGAAGCGATTTATAATATCAATGGTGATATTGAATTTGACACTGTCAATTTTATTTATCCATCTCGTAAAGAAACACCAGTTCTGCGTAATCTCTCTCTTATTGCTCGTGCTGGTCAGATAACTGCTCTCGTAGGTTTAAGCGGCTGTGGTAAGTCTTTTTCAAAAACAAAAATGTCAATTTAATATAATTTGCTTTCATCATTTATTCATAGGAAAGAGTACATGTATATCACTGTTTCTTCGTTACTATGAACCTTCATCCGGTCGCATAACGATCAATGGTCGGCCGATAACCGATCATAATGTCAAACAACTTCGACAACATGTTGGAGTTGTTAGTCAAGAACCCGTAAGCTTTGCTTTTCATTTTTCTTTTCTCCTTTTCTTTTTCATTTACAATTGTAACAGATTCTGTTTGGTATGAGTATTTATGAAAATATTCGTTTTGGTAAATTAAATGCAACACGAGCAGAAATTGAACAAGCAGCACAAGAAGCAAATGCACATAATTTCATCATGCAATTACCAGATGTTTGCGTCAAATGTTCATCACTGCCTACATGTATATATATTGTTGTTTCTTTTTTAGAAATACGCAACACTTGTTGGCGAACGTGGTATACAGTTGAGTGGTGGTGAAAAACAACGTATTGCACTAGCTCGTGCTCTTGTCAAACAGCCTACATTCCTTTTACTGGATGAAGCAACAAGTGCACTTGATAGTGTTAGCGAAAAAATTGTTCAAGAAGCGCTCGATCGAGCATGCAAAGGTATCTATTAGCTTTTCTGTTTATCATATTCATGTAGCACTTTGTATAGGTCGTACAACTGTTATAATTGCTCATCGTTTGACTACAATTCAAAATGCTGATCAAATATATGTATTAGATAATGGAAGTGTGATTGAGCAAGGTACACATGACACATTGATGACAAGAGAAGGAGGCAAATATCAAGCAATGGTCAAATGTCAAAAAATGGAAAGAATCGATAATGATAATGATGACATGATGAGCATACAAATAGCAAGAGAAGAAGATGAAAAGTTGATATGTATGTTAATATTTTACTAGTAATTGCCTTTACTTTTCTTCGTCTCGTTTTATTGAATAGTGGAACGCTCTCGTTTACTTAGCAACGTTTCAACTGTTGATGTAAACCAAGTAGAAATGCTATTGCAATTACTCATTCAAACTATTACTGATAATCACTTTTTTTTAGCAAAAAACAAAGCCATCTACAAAACGGTTTGTTTTGTTAAGACTCATTTCAATGAACAGTTCCGAATGGATCACCATCTTGATCGGTTGTATAGCATGTGTATTTAGTGGAGCCACTCAACCTTTGTTTGCATTTCTAGTCACTAAAATAATCAGTGTGAGTGATCCATACATATGATTATCGTGCAAACCCTAGTGAAAATTCTCGATGTTTCCGCGCCGAATTCTTAACAGATCTAATCAGAATCCTTCATGGATGTGCTCTTTTTTTTCTGAGGAAACGACTAAATCCTGAAAGAAGTGTGTAGCCACGGAATTTCAACATCATTGCAGGATTTGAAACAGGATTCAACCAGGATCCTGAACAGATTATCACTGTTTTTTATCAGGATTCTGCCAGGATTTCAATGATTCCTAATTGAAAAAGAAATTTCTGCTTACATATTGTCTCATTTATCTAGGTTTTCCTAAGGATATGACCAGTTTTCCTCACAAGAACTTTACAGAATTTTATTAACAATGGAGCATTCCCAGGTGCACATTCGCTTTTGAGTCGGGACTTAGTGTATCTTGTAGGCATTAGTAAACTATGAATACCCTAAAAAGAGTTCGTCCCCATAGCTTGTTTCTAGCGAGATATCGAAGTTTTAGTGAATTTTCCCCATAGGATCCCACATTTGCAGCAAGGTCATATTTTTTGAATTTTGATCTGAAACTTTGTTCACATAAACATCTCAGCTAGACCAGGTTGCATAAAAAAATTCAGAACTTTGCACAAAGTTTCTCCGAGATATGAAGCTTGCAACGTATAGGTCGTTTTCCATAGATAGTGTATAAAGCACGCATTTTTTCAAAGCTTCATATCTCGGAGAGACTTTGTGCAAAAGTTTTGAAATTTTTTATGCAACCTGGTCTAGCTGAGATGTTTATGTGAACAAAGTTTCAGATCAAAATTCAAAATATGACCTTGCTGCAAATGTGGGATCCTATGGGGAAAATTCACTAAAATCTTGATATCTCGCTAGAAACAAGCTATGGGAACGAACTCTTTTTAGGATATTCATAGTTCATTAAGGCCTACAAGATGTACTAAGTTCGACTCAAAAGCGAATGTGCACCTGGGAATGTTCTCTCGTAAGTTTTCTTGAGGATGTTATTCGATTTTTTGGCAGGATCTCTACAGAATTTTCTAAACAGAATAGAAAACAAGTGAACACATAGAGTATTGATCTCTAGTCTTGCAGTATACATACCGATCAGCTTACCCGGCTGGACTGTGCCACGTTACTGAATGTTACTTCAGCGTTCAATATCTTGAGTCGTTGTTTTAAATTAAATTTCTATTCCTGTTTTAAAGGAATGTAAGTTATCTCAAAAAAATTGTAAAAATACAGTGTAGTTCCATATTTTGTTTTTGATTGACAAAATTTGAGGATGTACTTTTAATCTCTATTCTGTTTGAAAAATACATTAATAATTTTTCTCACTCATAAATGAAGCTATCAGTAGCCTAGCTGGAAAATATGCTACAGAATGGCAGCAGCTATTGCATGAAAAAATAATGAAATAATCGAATTGAAATTTTAACACGCTATTTTAATAATTTTTCTAAAATATTTTTGGGAAAAAAAATAAAAAAAGAGCTGATTTTCATCAAGCAAATATAACGCTAACGTCAATAATAATTTAGAAAAATTCTACGACGAAACAGCTGTTTAAGGTTTTCGCAGATTCAATTATATTGCATGAAACAAGCTCCAAATCCTGATAGGGATAAAATTTATGCTTCTTTAGAAAAAACTATTGGTTTTTCAATTAAGTACATATCCTTGAGAAAACCAATCAGGGTCCTTCAAGAATTTGCACTAATTTTTCTTGGGTAAACGACAAAAGCCTTAACAAAGCGGGTAGTCACGAATTTTCCAGATCTTGGCAGCACTTGAAACAGGATTCAATCATGATCCTGAACAAATTATAGCGGTTTTTGGATTAGGATCCTGACAGGATATCACTAGTTTCTGGAGAAAGCGTGTAGCCACGGAATTCCAGGATCCTGGCAAGATTTGAAACATGATTCAATCAGGATCCTTAGCAGTTCAAGACTTGTTTTCGAGTTGATAATAGTTCACGAAACAAATTGTAGTTGTAGGTGTGAATGTGAGTTCATCTTATGTCACCTTACTGCCATAGCCACTGATACATCTTCCTGGTGAATTCTTGTTAAGATTGTCGGTTGATTTAGCAACAGTTGTTGACTGGATCCTTGTGTCAAGTTCTATATTAGATCCTGTCTAAAACTTGATGAAATATTGGCAGAATCCTATTCAGTTATTTCTGTAAGGATTCTAAGCAGGATCAATATATTATCCTAGTAGGGTCCTGTATTTAAAATTTTAAATAAATCTGGACAGAAATCGCAAGCAATCCCTTTTAGGATCCTATCTAAGCGTGAGAAATCCTGGGAGCAGGAATTATCAGAAATTGAAATAGGATCTTTGAGACTCAGGATTCTGATCGATTCTTCCAGGACTTTTCAAGGAATGAGCAGGATTGAGACTAGGGAAGATATTTACAATATACATCGATTTATATCGATTTATTTACTGAGTAGGCATTCAAATATTGTTCAAACGCTGAACAACGTCATCAAGTGTTGATTAGCAGTTTTCTTCTTTTACTTTTGGGTATTGTTTTATTGATTGTTCGTTTCTTTCAGGTAAAGATGCTGCTTCTGAAATTCATGCATGACTAATTCACTCTTTTCTGTAGTGCGCAGCTTTTGCCATAGCAGGATCGAAATTGACACAACGTATTCGTTCGAAAGCTTTTGCATGTCTTCTTCAACAAGAAGTTGCTTACTTCGATCGACCTGAAAATAGTTCTGGTGCGATTTGTACTCGTCTTTCTTCTGATGCCTCAAATATTCAAGAGATGACTGGTACGCGACTAGGACTCATCTGTGAAAGTCTCGCACTGTCGGTTTTTGGAATTCTATTTGGATGTTTGATCAATTGGCAATTGACAGTGATCGTGTTTGGTCCTTTTTTTATTCTATTCATAATCGTTTGTGGCGATGTACGGTTAAATCTATGGCTAAATCAACAATCTAATTACATTATCGGACGAGCAAGCACGGTAAGATCAGCTTTAGCTGATAAATTAGTTTTCAGTAGGAAAAATTAGTTTATAAGAACCTATTTGATAAATCAAATGCACTATATGTATCATGTGTTTCATTTCTGCAGCTTGCTGTTGAAGTTATTTCTAACATGCGTACAATAAAACAGTTGTCAATAGAAAAAGAAGTTTTACAACAATATTCGGAATTTGCACATCAAGTATTCATGTTGGTTCATCGAATCTTATACATGTATAAAATTTTCATTAATCTTATTTTCTCATAGGTTGTCTTGGAAACCTTTGATAGTATTTTCCATGTCACATGGCATATACTGGGCACGAGATGTATACATTACGGCGTTTGTGTATTGGCGAGCTCTTATCCTTGTTGAAAAGAATGAACTCACCTCAAACAGTATTATAATGTAATTGTAGCAACAGTTTGACAATCGAGGGACAATACTTTGATTATCTTTACATTCTATTAGGGCCTGTGCTTTTGCTGTTTTTTCAGTACAAGCAATAAAACTCGTTGGAGTGCTGTAATATTCTCATACTCAAGTTGGTATCTTTTTCTTTCACCATCTTCATTCTAGATCCAAGCGTATCGCTGCATCAATCTCAGCTGCAGACGCATTTTTCGATTTATTCGATCGAAAACCAGCTATCGATAATACATCTACAGAAGGACAAGAATTGGTAAGAGAATATAGAAAACAACTATTTTTTTAAAGCATGCACATAGCATGGATATTATGATTCGCTTAGGTTGATTTCCGCGGAGAGATAAAATTCGATCAAGTAAAATTTGTCTACCCGACTCGGCCAACATCTATTATTCTTAATAAAATTCAACTGAATATCAAGCCAAGTAAGTGCAACATGTGTCAATTTAAGCATAGTTTTACTACTTTTTATTTCATGATAAGGTCAACATGTGGCTCTTGTTGGTAAGTTTGATTTAAATGTTGTTCTTTTAAGTCTTGATTACACAATACGATGCATACAGGTGCATCCGGATGTGGAAAATCAACAATTATTCAACTCCTGGAACGATTCTATGATGTTACAAGTGGTCAAATAGTTAGTATTTCTTCAACATATAGTTTAAATAATTATATTAGATTGGTCCAATTAATCTAGCTTCTTGATGGCATCGATATTCGACAACTAAACCTTCAGTGGATTCGTTCTCATCTCGGACTCGTCAGTCAAGAACCAATTTTGTTCGATTTAACAATTGCTGAAAATATAGCATATGGTTTAGAAAATGTTCCAATGGAAGATATTATCAATGCAGCAAGTAGAGCTAATATTCATCAATTTATTGAAGAATTGCCTCAGGTGAAACAATACAAATTATATAATAGATTTCTGACTATTGTATGATATTGTTGTTAGGGTTATGAAACAAAAGTAGGAATGAAAGGGAGGTTTCTGTCTGGTGGTGAGAAACAACGTGTTGCTATTGCTCGAGTTCTTCTTCGTCAACCTAAAGTATTGCTCTTAGATGAAGCCACAAGTGCCATGGATTCACAAAATGAACAAGTGAGTTTTTTCTCGATTCCTCTACTAACATTTCATCTTCATTTTTCAATTATAGATTGTACAAGAAGCTCTTGAGCAAGCTCGAACAGAAGATCCTAGTCGAACATCACTTACGATTGCTCATCGTCTTTCAACTATTCGTTCATGTGACTTGATTTATGTACTAGATAGAGGACATATAGTGGAACATGGTACTCATGCCGAATTGGTACAACGACGTGAAGCTTATTATAAAATGCTTGATCAAAACACTTTACAATGATCATCAGTGAACTATTTTAAAAATGAAAATACACTTCGTTGAACATTCAGAGAAGCTTTGCCTAAAAAAGTCTGACACAGAATAAAGTTGCATTGTTCAATTTGTTCTACGCATTTTATTATTGACAAACAGTTGATTTTTTGATCAAACTACAGTACCTTAGATCGATTTTTCTAAACTGCAGTTTGACGTTTGATCAATCTCATACACATAACAATGCTGATGATGAACTTTTTCAATCTATGTTGAAAAAATGACATAGAACACTGCATGATAATTACTGAAGAGAATGCTTACCAACTACAATACTTTAATGAGAAAAACTTGTCGAGAAATATACTATGCAAAAATTTAGATAGATTTTTTAACATAAGTACTTACTACTCAACCTGTTATGGGTTTATCATTGACGATTTCGGACCTCATACAAAGATTCAAAAAGTGCTTCATTTTATTCACCCTTCAACGAAAGAAAATCATTCCTTATGTGTATCATACTGTTATACAGTTTTGCATAGCTTGTCCAGTCAAATTTAGATGATTCGAGTGTACAACAAACAAAGGTGTGTCTTGCTTTGTTTTTCACCGGCGAAAATAAATTCATCGAGACATATTTCGTACGAATCTGTAGTATATAACAACCTATCTAATTCTTAAAGTAGTTTCGAAGTCTTTTTTTTTTTGAAAAAATGGTTATTACCTCGACTGACGGGAGGGTCATATGAAATAAAATGATTTTGTTTGTATTCTTGCTTGTCGGGATCAAAAGTCAAATCTGTCAGATGAACTTAAAGGTAGTAGAGTGAGTCTAAAGTAACTAAGGTAACTAAGGGTAGTCAAGACTTGTTAAGAGTAGTCAAGACTAATTAAGGGTACTTATGACTAATTAAATGTAGTTAAGATCAGCTAAGGGCACTTAAGACTAGTTAATAATAGTTAAGACTTGTTAAGGGTAGTTATTCCCTTGTCTAAAAGGAGGGTCATATGAAATAAAATGAGTTTGTATGCTTGTTTTTATATGTCCAAGCCCGTGTTGAGTCACACGCTCGAATATTTAGAAGACAGACACCTGCTATAATGGTTGATAAAAGCAAATTGGAGTCGAAGAATCCGAATCTGTAGTCGATTTCTCGAATTGTTCATTTTGAATTTTATCATCAAAGAAAAGGATGGCTTGAGTGTGTGGATGTGGTGTGGGTGTGAGGTTAGGGTATGCGGGTGAGTGTGGGTGTAGATGTAGTTCTTCTCTTCATTCACAGCCACATTCACACCCACCTCACACACTCACAGACGCATATACCCACAGCCTACAGGCACAGTCATAGGACAGTTAATGAAGTTTTAGCAACTGCATTAACTTAACAAAGAAAAGAGAGGAAAATTCATTTTTCGCGAAAATGTCGTGTCACCAGAGTATCAAAGTGCTTTTCGAAAAATCTCATTCATAGACTCAAACAAAAAGATTCTAAGAAGTCTCAAGATAAAACAATGCACGACAAAAGACGATACAGAAAGAAGCCATCCACGAATAGCATGAGATCCGGATTGTTTTCAATATTTGAATGTATATACTAAGACGGTTTTTATTGTATTTACATGTTATTTCAATCATATCATTTGATTTATTGTAATGATGAGTATATTTATCCTTTTTTTGATATTCAGCGATGGATCGCAAGTGAACTCGAACATAATCCAGATGTATTTGGAAATGTTCTCGAGCTATTGACGCACATATATCATCATCGGATGGGTTTGAGTAAAGATGATTAACAATCAGTAGTGTCAAAATTGAATTCAATTATTCAACTATTCAAGTTTCAAGTTGAACATGTACTTAGCTTTGATCACGTGGAAGATAATGTGAAAATTTCAGCTCAGATGGCCTTGGAAAAACCAGTTATCGTCAATGTTAACATGATTTGCAATGACAATAGTTACACTGCTCCTTAGAATTACAAAATATATGACTGAAGCTTTTCGAATAGTAAGCAACAATCTCGTAATACAGTTTCAAATGCTTCATAATTGAAAAATATAGTTATGGACATTGAAAATCAAGTTAACATTGAGGATAACTAGTCTTTCCACAGTCATTTGAGCTTAAACCTTCACATCATTTTCCACATGATTACAACTATATGTAAGGAAAATCTCAATTCACTTCAACTTATATCGGCTGAGATAGTGATTTTTCCTGATGAGATGACTCTCATAGCTGTAATAGTAAAACGTGCGATCTCTTCAGCAACAGGTTAGAACCACGAACTTTTGTATGATAGACATATTGCACTAAGATCTACAAGATGTACTAAGTCTCGGCTCAAAAGTAAGGATGAGAATTTATTATTAGTGTTATTAATGACAATAACAACAACTTCTCATTAGGGGTAATCAGTTACTGTTAATAGACAACTCTTATCAGAAATCTTATGCGCTACATTATTGTCGTCCAAGAGGTGTTGAAAATAATGTAACGCATAAGACTTCCGATACCAGTCACCTATGAATGGTAACTGATCACTACTTCTAATGAGAAGTTATTGTTATTGTTATTAATAACAATTTGGCAACAATAACTTATTATTTCTACTTAAAAGTGAACGAATACCTGTGAATGCTTCCTCGAAAGTCTTCTCTAACAATACTTTTCTTTAAACAGATTATATTCGATCAAAGTCAATGAGTACAAATGACATACATTTCAAAAGCAAGATCTACGAGGTATTTCTTTCATCAATTATTGTGTTTGCAAGATTTTTCTTCGACGGAAAACATTAATTAAATGATGAATTGTTGGATATGAGAAACCTACTATAATCTCCAATTATTTCATTTTTTCTTTCAGTAAACATTCAATCGGCAATGAGTGTTTGCATAGTTCAACAAAATAAAATATTCTACTCGCCTGAAATCATTTTACTACTTATTCTTCTAGCTTTCTTTTGCATTAGAATACTCAAGAGAAACAAGAAGGGAAACAAAGCAATATTCATTTCAATCGTACATATGTCAAGCAATAAAGGTAAGATGACAGAAAATTTTATTCATATCGAATAATAAATGTGTTACAACTAATTGATTGGCGTTTTATAAAAGACAACTTCCCGTTTAGCATCTATATGAAATATGTCTTTATCATGTATATGTATACTACTATTTGTTTTTTTTTGTTTTCAGAAACAATGTCGACAACAGTTGGACATTTATCGACCGCAATTCCACTCAATCTACTAGAAGCGGAAAACGAAAAGAATAAACTTCGTCGAAGTTCAATTATTCATGAATTCTGTTTGAACACATCCACACATGGTTTACCGGGTATGGCTCCCAGCAAACTTTACATAATTGTCTATTTTGGTTGATTTCGTTATTAACTTGTACTGGTTTTATGCTCTATCTTATTATAAAAGCAATTTTAGCCTATCTTGAATATCCAACACAAATAGATGTGAATATTGTTCCTGAATGGCCACAATATTTTCCAGCGTTTAGCTTTTGTAATATTGGAAAAATTCTTTTTGATCAATTTGTTGAACCTTTCATAAATTATACGAAGACATTAAATTTGACAAATACAAATGACACAACAACATTGTCTTCACTTCAAGCTTCGTACAGGGTGGTAAATAATATTATTCCAGGGGGGTAACACTATGATCTCGAATCGGAGATATCATGAATTTTATACCAAATGAAAGCTCGTGAAAAATGGGGTTTAGTGATAGTAAATAGTAAGACTTTGAAGAACTTTCTTGTATTAATTTATCAAACGTTACGATTTTTATCGACATAAAATATTATAAAATCAGTTCATCGAAAAAGTTCGGGGCTAAACTATATGTTGTACAACTGTTTATTTTCTTATTATTTATTGAGTACAATCAATAATCAGTATGACGACCATTAGCACTCTTTACTGCACGAAGTCGAGATGGATACGAACATAAAAGAGCTTCAAACAATTCGGTATTTTCTTCCATGTCCGTCAAAACATCCGCAATGTGCTTTTTAAGTGTGTCTTCACTATATCGATTATGTCCAGTTTCCGATAACATTTTTTGTTCAACTTCATCTTTCATTATTGATCCAATATGTTCCGCCGCATTGAGATCGGGCGAATTACCAGGCCAAATATCATTGCCCCAAAACTCGATTTTGTTATCTCTAATCAGATGTTGAGTCATGTTTGCTCGCATACACGGTGCTTTATCGTGAACAAATATCACATTATCCAGATCAATTACGTTTTCCTCGTCGGTGAGGAATGGAAATACGTGTTGCATTAAAATAATGTCACGAAAATATTGACCGGTCCAAGATTCACCTTTGTCTTTAATCACCCAATGCATTTTTTTCGCGGTGAAAATGATAAAAATACCGATACACGCTTGGTTTTTAACCATTTCGCGATACCTTTCATCGTCTTCAATATCTTCAACACTTTTTGCCCAAATCCTATCATTTTGATAATTTGGTTTGCGAACTGTCCAAACATAAAATTCATCTGATGGTGCCAGATGAAGAAAATCTTCTTCAGTCCAATCTTTCAACCAATCACAGAGCCATAATCGATCTGATATATGAGTTTCAGATTTTAACGGTCTTGAAATAACATGAAAAGGCTTTAATCCTTCCCTACGACGGTAGTTATTAACTGTTTGTCGAGTAACATATTCTTTTTGTTTCTTTGCAATCTCTTTCGCCACGACAGAACCGCTTTTCCGTTGGTGACCACTTGCTTCACGAATAATGTCCTGAGCAGCTCTCGATAACTTGAGTTTAGGACCAGCATTCGAATAATCAGCAAAACATTGGCCACACGATTTTTCCCACCATTCTGTAACAAATCGAGTCGTACGGTGAATTTTGTCGGCAATCCATTGTCTATTTATAAATGTTGCACCAGCATCACGAGCTTCTCGGAAAGTAATGCATTTAATTCTATCAATCATTCTTTGTTGTTCGGTATCATAAGCGCCAGCCATTTGAAATAACAAACGAAAAAACACTGAGATTTCACTCGACTATAACTTTCAGACAGTCCGAGAACGAAAAAATTTTTCAAATAACTAGTATCACGTGGAGAGAAGAACAGAACGCCAAAGAACCATCTTATTGTGTGAGTCATAGTCATATATCATCATCGTTATCATTTCTCTTTCGTTTTCATAAAAAATGTTCGTTTTCAATGTCTCAAAATGTATGAAAAATGATTTTTAACGTGTTTTTGAAAGAAAATTTCGTTGTTTTTAAAAATTTGGTACACGAAAGTTCTTCAAAGTCTTACTATTTACTATCACTAAACCCCATTTTTCACGGGCTTTCATTTGGTATAAAATTCATGATATCTCCGATTCGAGATCATACTGTTACCCCCCTGGAATAATATTATTTACCACCCTGTATATTGGAAGTTTTATACAATATAAATTGAATAGAAATGAACCAATAGAATCATTTTTCTATCCATTACCTTCAATGCTCTATACATGTTCTTACAACAGTCAACATTGTTCAGCAGCAGATTTCATTTCATTTACAACATCAGCCTATGGACTCTGCTATACATTTAATGCTAAATTGAAAAAGGATAGTGTTAATAGTATACGCTATGGAAATGAGAATGGTGGTGATGGAAGACTTGAATTAGGTCTCTATGTTCATAGTAATCAATATGTACCTTATTTTGTAGACGGTAAGTAAACAGTAGATGTTTTTTTTAATGAAAGATCTTAATTTTGTTTTATCCAGGTATTGGTATAGTATGTCTCATACATGATAACAGAAAAGTTCCTCTTCTCAATGTATCCGGTTTGAACTTAAATCCTGGACGAAAACATAAATTAAGCTATCGAACGAAGACAAGTTACTTTTTATCTTCACCATATACGACATGTTCGAATGAAGTTCCACTCTGGATGAAAACTGTATTGAACAATTATCCAATAGCTGACTATGAATATTCACAACCGCTTTGTTTTCGAACTGCCATGCAGATTTTTACGTCAGTATTTTCAAAGAAAATAACTTGAGAAATATTCATGTAATCTAAATTTGACTATGAATAATTGTTGATTAATATCTATTGCATGTGCTATGCCGACAATTAAGCATTCATCCTGATGAACCAGAGTCTATATTGGCGACTAATTCAATCGGACAGTAATGAGAGTATTTGTTTGACATCAATGCTTGATTACTCGCCTTTGGACTAACACAAAATATGATTACATTCGAAAAGAAGATAATGCAGGGACTTAGCTAGGGGGCACAGGGTTCCCTAAGGAAAAAATGTCCTACAGAGAGTACGGGAAAAAAATTATTTTCCTTTGACAAACGTGGTTTTTGTCACGGCTGATCCTCTCAGCAACTCGTCCTTCTAAAATACTCCAGGGAGAGAGTGGATGACGCATACGATGAGACTAGAAGAGGCAGTGTTTTATCCAAAGGGAATGCTGAGAAGGCGTAACCTTCGAAGTTCACGAGTTCTCAAAGAGAAATCTGCGATGTTCTCTCCAACGAAAAAATTCTAAATTTAAAACACTGAGAAGAGACCAATCCATTGAGAGGTAGTCGGTGAAAAACAATGGGAAGAACGTTCTTAGTCTAAGACCAAGTGAAAAACGATATAGCTTAGAAGCTTATCCATTCAGTATTCGAAGAAGTTATCCTAGAACATTGGTACTGCGATAAGAATAATATCTATCTCTATTCTAGCTATCAACAATGTGGTCGTGTTAATCCTTATATTTGGAAAATTCTATCGATTATTTTGCCAGGCACAAACAATATTATCATAGCACCTCTTTGCGATTTAACCGATAATTGCACTAATCAAGCTGCGGATACCTACTTGGCAACACCATCGGATGAAAATGATCCTGATTCTTACTGTTCACAAGAATGTTCAATAACAGATTTTCTTTTTAAAAAATCTTCACTATTAACACCACTCGAATGGTAAATGTCTGGCATAAAAAAATTTGTTGAAAATTCTTCGATTCCATTGCCATCCGATTGGTCAACTACATGGCGTGAACGGATTCATGAGAATTATCTTGCTATTAGTGTTGTACGCGAAACAGCTATTATTGAAAATAATACACAATCAGCACAAATGAGTCTAGTTGATGTTCTATCAAATATCGGAGGTTAAACTGGTCTATGGATTGGAATTAGTCTTCTCTCAATCATGGAACTTATCAAAATGATTTATCGACTTCTTCGAAATGAATATCAAGTAATTCGATCAAAAAGAGAAAGAAACCAACAAATTATGACACAATAAACGTTATATTAAACATTCTTTATGAAAGAACTTATTGATATGTTTCACTCTAATAAAGGGATCGATATATAAACGCTGTTCAGATAGAAGTTATCTGCTCCTCGTATAGCTTCATAGTTCAGTGACTTCAGAAATGGTCTGGAAAATTAGTACTCCGTCATGTGTTCGGTCTTCTGTTGAAGTATATATTTCCTTTTATTTGTTAATCGAAAGTTGAACGACGTAAACAGTATAGCCAAATCATGTTCGAGGTTCTCATTTTGTCTTCACAATATCTTTTATCAAGACTCTACGTGAAGAACTTTGTAAAATAATTCGACAACTTTCAATTAGGTAAAAAAAACATTTTGATACATTTGCATTTTCAAGACTTTTTCGAATGAGAAAAATATCGTGTAATTCAAAGTAGATTCAGCTGCATTTCATAAAATACTTCACTCACAGATGATGAATATGAAAGTAGTGTGAATCAATCATTCTCACTAATCAGACACTTTGAGACAAAAGTCAAAAAGATAAAATTGATTAGTCGATTTGAACCTTAGTACAGTTCTTAATCATCTACACATGATAACATTTGAATGAAATTCGTGGAATATTTAAAGAAAACTCTCAACAATCTTGTTTTCGCACAAATTATACTATCGATATAAAATCAATAACGACAAAAATGTAAAAACCAATAACCATTCATTTTTTTTTATTCGGATTATTCTTAATCCCTCAGAAACTTCTGTCAATAGGCTACTGAAATGAAACATAAAATGAAGTTGTGTAAATTGAACATGAGAGAACTGCAACTGCGATTTGTATTCGTCAAGTCACACCACTCAAAAGTACTCGAAATGATAGTGGTGACAATTGTCGTAGGCGGTGAAGTTGGAACAGCACATCCATAATATCATTGAATTTCGAGAACATCGATTGGACTCAGATCAACACGTTGTCTGATGTTTGCACTGGTGTTGATAGTTGGATCAATGGTTGCGGCAGTGCAGATACTGAATGCAATCATTCAAATATGAGTCAGTTCATTTTGGTCTGATCACTATCTCATGCTGTCATGTCTCTTATGTTTCACTCTGTATTGTTACGGCATTGATTCTGTTTTTTTTAATCGTTGTACTTATCTTTTGATTAAAAATCTATAGTTTTATTGTGATATATTTCTTTTTGTTCTGTATTAAACATATAGAAGTAAGAAGAGAGAAATAGCAACATGAAACAAACCGATAACGAAGACCATCATCAGATTATTAGCTCCTGTATTCAATTCTAAACCGAACAGAATATTCTATCGTTGCACAAAAGCTATGAAAAAAAATAAGCTGATTCCATGATTGTGCGTATAGCCATTGGTTATAGTCAGCGACATCACCATTTAAGATCGAATGGATGTGGGTGTGCATGTTCTATTCATTAACACTTACATCCACACCCACCCACTACTGGTTGTAAGAAAAAAATAATTTACATAAGCATCTAAATTACTAAGTATTATTGTTGTTTTTCTTTGAAACTATTGGCACAAGTGATTATGACTCTATTTATCTATGCTTCATGGATGAAGGGAATGATGATGATAATGAAAAAAAGACAATCCGATGTCATATTACTTATTCATATGCTTACAAATATTGCATACTGAAATGAATTCTTTCTGTTTTTTACTATAATTTTGTTCAATCTAATTTTAACTAATTTGTAACTCCAAAAGCCTATCAAAAAATACTCACGTATTTTTCAGCTTGAAAATATCTGATTGGGGCCAGAAGCAGTTAGGTAGAATCAGAATGTTTTGATCTTTTCGAATATACAGTAACTCCTACAATAATTCATCCAGGTTTATTTTCAATTTTTTTTTCACTGTCATAACCGCTAAAACCTTCCATAATAAAAGATCCCAGAACTTCTATTATTTTCAAGAGTAGATAAGTTTTAGGGAACCTTGCATTATATAACATGTAAAAAAAGGCTAATCATCTAATTAAAATCGATTTATTGAAAAATAATCACACAAAATCTATTAAAAGTATCAAGTTTCGATTAAAGTCGATGTAATATTTCATTGTAATTGAGTTTACTCAGTACAGGGTGTGGGTGTGGGTGTGGATGCATGGGTGCGGGTGTGGATGTATGGGTGTGGGTGAAACGAAAATGCACACCCACACCCTAATATTGAAATAAATAACAGTGGTGATAGAACAACTTTATTAATTAATTAGACGTTTCGACATACTACGAAGTCATTATCAATATTATGATTATTTTGCCTAATATTTGGTTCGTTTATTAGAATTTTCTCTGGTGGTTTTTAAAAAATGGCATTCAAATGTATCAATTTATATATTGTTCGGTATAATCCGTTGGTTACTCGTTATTGATAATGACTTCGTAGTATGTTGAAACGTCTAATTAATTAATAAAGTTGTTCTATCACCACTGTTATTTATTTCAATGTTATAATTATTTTACCTAATATTTTGTTCGTTTATTAAACAATACAACGTGGTACAGATTATTAAATGAAGCTAAAAGAGTTTTTCGTTTCTCTACCAGTCTATTTATTTAGAACTGTTTACTTTCTATAAACAAATGATGCAAGCTCGCTTCTATATATATCTGAAGTGACTCATATGCTGCTTTGTATTTTTTCTGAAGTCACCCATGGAGTAAAATATTCAAGGAAACGGGCTGCGTAACGCGTTTCTGAGATTGCAGCATGCGTTTCGCAGCGTTTTTCCAATATAGAACGCGTTTCACAGCATTCTTACTTCGATAGAATGCGTTTTGCTGCTGTCGTTTTTGAAACGATCTGAAACGCGTTTTTCCAAGATTGCGTTTCGAAGCGTTGCCGAAGTAAAATAATGTCGAACGCATTTCGATCGATAGGTAACGCGTTCCAGAGACACAGATTCGGAGAAATGTGAAACGCGTTTCCTTTTCAAACGCATTTTGCATCGTTTTTGTTTGAAATGATGCAAAATATATCCGTTTTGCATGCAGAATCTTGCAGGAATTTATCTGTACAAAGCGTACGAGTTAAGCAAAGCTAATTCTGGCACTATTTTAGAAATTATACTAAATGGGATTTGAATATTTTGTTCCTTGCACTGTTTCTCAACATGAAAATTATGACCCAAACTTTCCAAACGCAAAATTAAAATCGAATTCTTCTAAATGTTTAGGCTGCTAGACTGTTATATAAGTCTGATTGGTAGTTAGACTAATATTGAACATCAAAGTGTAAGAAAAATATTTTTTTCTTCCTTGAAAACTCATTTCACTAGGTTTTTATTGAAAGAAAACGTGTTTCGTAACGTTCAACCAAGCATTGTTTTAAATATTGAACAACTCGAAAAGATTTAGTAAAGACTGATGTTAGCGTAATGTGTACGACAACTTTGTTTGTTTATCTGTGAAGAAAAGAATCTCGAGTTATTTATAATTTAAATAATTATTGGTATGAATTCATATTTGGACTACTTGATAGTGACTAATGATACTGTGTACAATACTATTAAATATGAATTTAGTTCGTACTTTGTTAATGTAAACGTGACTTATTAATGAAAAGAATATTCGATTTACAAAAGAAGATTCTTTGCATTTAGTGATACTTTTGGATAAAAGGATGACGAATTTACATATACAAAAATCTATCAAATAAAGAAAACAATTCAAAAAATTTATTTTTAAATTTCTTAATATTTATATCTAAGAGACTCAACTTGTTTAAATATTAAATACAATTTAAATTAATTAAAATCGTTTCAATTGGGTATTTAAATTTAAATTTAAACAAGTTCAAATAAAAAAACATACCAAGAGGAGATCAAACTCGTTATTGGGTATAGGCACCAAGGAAATGATAATTTTTAATTTAATGGTTTGGGATACTGAAAATCTATAGTAAGTTTACGGAAGACTCTGAAAGACTATAGAATAAACACTTATATCATTAGATTATTTTAGTTGAACGGTTTGTACACATGTCTTCTACTCTTATGTTCTCGTGTTCGAATCTATGTGTTGGCTTTATTAAAATTGATCTAAGTTATAGCTCTAAAGGTGTATGAAAAATGTAAGCGAGTAAATTAATTGTATCTGCAACTCAAAGTGCATGAAGTACTTGACGGTTTTCATTTTTTTCCATCTAGAATATAAGACACTACAGTTAGAGAAACGCTACGAAACGTTTTTAGAAAAACGATCGTTTCACAGCGTTCGTATTAGCAGATGTGAAATGCGTTAAACCGGTCAGCATTAACGCGTTTCGCAACTATGGAAAAATGCGTTTTTTTCGCAGAAATTTACGCCATGGGCAATTCTTTAACTGTAAATTTGACTACTTTTTATAGTATGATAAAATCGATATCAAAACGAAATAATCTTTTGTTGAGATACAAAAGCAAAATTCAGTTCTCAACTGGTTTTTCTTGTTTGTAACGACCGCGTTATATACTGTGTTGCAAGAATGATTGACTTAGATTTTCAGAAGCACCATCTATCTTCAAACTATTTCGTTTTAGATACTAATATTTATCAGTATTCCTATTATTGTTATTCGTTACCTTAGTTTATTCACTAAGTTAGAAGTATTCAGTGAGAACCTAATATAGCACGGTTTTCATCATAAAATTTCTTCAGTAACTCTCGTACAAATGTACATATGGAACCAAACTTTTTCACAGAAAAACTTTTTTTGAGAATTCACTATTTTGATTTTTTGCTTCGATATCCTTAGTGTCGTCCCTATCAAGCTGAAACCAAATATGTAACTTACGAGACGAGTAAAAGTAGTTCTCCTACAGATACTACTTATACACAAGAAACACAAAACATATTCGAATCTTCATTCCATGTACTTTTTTATTAGATTTTGAAGAGCAAACAACAATCGTCAACTATCAGCAATAGACTGTAATTTTTATCAGTGAATAATATGATACTTTAAGGTTTTTTTCCTAGACATGCCATCAATTTAAGTCAAGTAAGAAATTGTGTGGTGAGCTGAAAAATATAAATTCATTATCAACAATGAGACTACTCAATAAATTCCTCCTTATCTCATATGTTTTAGACCAAAGATAAGTGACTGCATTGACATTTTTCAACATACTGCGCTTTTTTTACGTAAATATTTTCTTCATCAAATATCCATTGACAGAGATTTTTAATTGAAAAAGAAACAACGTTGTGGAGTGCATTAACTCGATATCATGTTGAATATGTTTATTTTAAAATATTTTACCATACACGGTCATTGATTCATTATTTTCATTTGCCTGTTTTAATAAATAAATTGTGTGTATTGTTTTTATGTTTTATACGCATGCGCGCAATGTAAAATCGTTCTATTTAGTTTTTTTTATATTTCAAGTGACTATGGAAAGTATTGAATTCAGCAACGATAAACTAATGACCGTTGTTGATGATAATGCAATAATTTGATTGCGTGGTTTTTTTATTTAAGAGTGTGAATAGAAAAGAAGAACCATGCAAAGAAGAGATGAGGAAGTGACAAATACAAAGAATATCTGAAGATCAATGAACAACCACACATAATGAAGCGACTATCACGGTATTAAGCTAGACTATCTTTTTGTTTAAGTTCCAGACGAAGCCATTGTTGTATCTGAAGCCGTAGTGTTAGTCATGATTGCAGTCGTCATTGATGTTGTAAGGGTATCCGTAGTCATTGTCGTAGTCGAAAGCAAAGTTGTTGCTATTGTGAATGCCGTGGGTAATCGGTTCGCAATTCTAGATGCTAGTTCTTGAAGTCCATCTACCTGTTGATTTAGATAATTGAATCTTTTGTTTAGAGTACCAAGAGTCACAGCTGCAAGAGCAAGAGTAATTATTACAAACAAACCAATTATAATCAATCCCATCTGAATACGCCTGTTGCTATGTTCTCCGAAAGCCATTGCTCGTTTTCTTTTTTTCTTTAGAAAAGAATTGTAGACTTTATTGGATAAATATTGTGACTTTTAACATTTTTTTTTACTTAGAATACTAACAAAGCATATGCTTCTCTATATATAGATAAATGAATCCAAAGCAAATACCAACATTGAATAGGTGTAACTGTTAAGATAAGAACACTTTCATTCAGGCTAGTTTTCATCAGTCAAGTAATAATAGTTGCAAGGATACAAACACAATTTTGCTGTTATCTCGGTTACTTACTAATGAACTACAGTTTTATTTTTTCTTGAAGGTATCGATAAACACTTTTTTGTTTTCATGTTTTATATATAGCGATACATAAGCTTTGCGAGAGATATATAGTGAAGCCTACGAAAATGGAAGAATACTATGTTATTGTTGAAGGCTACAAAATTTGTATCAAACTTAAAGTATTCCAATTTAGTCTTATGTATTGATTGTTATGATAGATTGAAAAACGCAAAAGTACTACATTAAATTTAAAAAAGATTATGAAATATTTTCGATTTAAGTTTGGCCATAGAAGTAGTTTCAATGAAACGAAAAATGTAAAAGTAGTCAAGAAAAGAGTTTTATGGTTTTCAAAACGATATTAAAATTTCGAAACTTTCAAGATCATATATGTTAGTTGGTTATAGAATATATCAGAAATAGTGATATGAATATTCTTGAAGTGCCAGGTAAAATTACATTACTTTCATCTTTTTTCTCTCTGTAAGATTTCATACAATGTTACCATAGAAATATAAACGTCAAAACTTTTTGTTGAAATATCATTATTCGTAACTTTAATGATTCACCAACGTTCTATGATCGAGTACTATTTACCTCCTTGATACAAAATACATTTGATAAGACCATGCAAACATAGCAATGAATAATACTTCACAGTCGGCTTGAATTACAATATTAAGAATGTATTGACTACAATTATGCAAAAAAAAACGATTCAAGGTAAAAGGTTTATTATGCATAACAATTATCTTCAATAAAATGACAATTTGTACTAACATTATTTTGACAAATATTTTGTTTTCAAGCGATGAAATATTTAGTTAAATATTTATTTGAAAAATAATGTTTGTAAAATAAATATGAAGCAGAAGATCAGAATGTTTCAAGTATTTGTAATGAAGAAAAGAAAAAATGAACACAGTTCTTTAAGCTAACAAATCTAAAACACATTCAGCTTTTTTTCTATCTCTATTGACTTTGCTTTTTAGTTCATTTATCAGAAATTACCAGTAAATATTTCTACTAGACTTCTGGCAACTCTCAATTGTGTGAACTGTATATTTTCCAGGAACTGTGTAAAGTCATCAGTAGGGAGGAAAATTACTGTTACTAGCCAGTTACGCTATCAGTAATCGGGTAACGAAAACCTGCAAAAATGAGCATCAGCTGTACACCACAATATTGACTAATTACACTCGAGGAAGCTGTCTCTCTGCTATTGCACGGATAAAACATATTGATGTTCGGATGGGTGGGTGTCAGGGTGGATTTAGGTTCAAATCTTTCTTTCATTCATACCCACACTCTCACACACATCCCATTGAATTTTGGCTCTCAATGTTTCATTTCCGCAAAGTCTTAGTTTTTTTTCGAAATTTTGAAATCGATTTCATCACACTTTCAAGTGTGACGGTCATCTAATCATTCATCAGAGTTAATGAACATCACTATTCAATGCATTTCAATTAGTCGTTTTTCTTAATAAAACATTGTTCAAAAAATATTTAATTCATTTAATAAACAATAAACTTAATCATTTTGAATTAAGTATTGCAGAATAATTAAATCGTTAACGTTAACTTCTTAATGATTTTATGAACATTTTTTTCAAATTTGATTAGTTAAATAAAATAAATTCATTTTTCCCTTAATTAAATATGATTCAAAAGCTTGTCCACACCTATTTAACGACAAATGCTGAAACATGATATCATCTGTGTTCTATCGAGTTGTAAAGCAATCGATCAAAAGATTATACAGAATATAAAATGGAAGCATCTAGCAGTAGGTAACTATTCAGAAGTATCGAAAGTATGAAATACGATTTTTTCCCCTCTTCATATTTCATCTATTCGTTCAGTGTTTTTTTTCATAGCAGAAATAGAAAACTTTCATTCGATACTGAATATTATGAATGAGTCGATATGGACTTGAATTTACCAATACTAGTTGATTAATGGAACTCAAAAAGAAGTCGTACCAAAAAATCTAGTACGATTTGTGAAAGGAAAAATATACTGGTTCTTATTATTATTAGCATTATTTAGCTTTATGACCATGTCGTTCCTAAAGGGACAGCTGAGTTTCGGAGTGAAGAGAGCAAAACAAGAAGAAGGACAACAGGGTATAGGGAGAAAAACAAATAGAAAGAGAGAATTTGAGAAAAGAATTTAAAAAAAAAGAGAGATATAGAAAAAGAACAGGAATGGAGAGAGCAGAAAAGAAAAAAAAAGAGGCAAGAAAAAGAAACGAAGTATTCAGAAGGAGCTGACTGCAACAGGAACCGAGAATAAAAAAATACTGGTTCTTTTTTCATTGCTCATATTTGCCATTGACTGCTTTACTTTGCTTTGTTTGCAATTAAATCGACTTGACATGAAAGAGAAGGAAGAAAAACCATGCCAATGTCAGTCGTTTATCTATTAATTCATTCATCGTTTATGTACAAGTAACGGTCGCTCTACTTCAAATTATATTTACAATCATCCAAGAAGTGATTATCTATAAGTTGAAACTATATATTTATTTAATATATTTGTGAAGTCCATGCACAATGGAGAAAGCTCCTAGTAAATCAGCTATGAAGAGACGACAAGAACTTGTCGATATATTGATGAGTAACAGACCGTCAGCAATACAATCACATCAATCATCGACATCTTCTGCTACCGAATCAGTTATCAGCATGATAATGCCTAAGCCTGGTAAATCAGCACAAGCTAACAACGAATTGTCAATCGCACGTTTATGGGGCATCGCATGGATGTGGAAGGCAAATATTGATCCTTGGTCATCAACTGAACCCGACGAATGGAAAAACTATTCTGATATTGAAAATATGATTATAGAAGAGGCTTTTATGGCCGAAAAAGATATCGCTATACTCGATGACTATCATATTATCTTTTCCAACAATGTACAGATTAACAATAACAATACCAATAATCAACGACCTGTCCAACGAATTGTGATGGGCGAACGAGGAGAGCAACGATTGAGAGAAGCTCGATTTATGCCGAATCCAATCAAACTCAATGCTTCATTTCGTAAAAATCATGTATTTACATCAACTTTGGAATTCGTTCGAGCAACAAGAGAGAAATTCCAGTTTCAATGTGAAAATCTTGAAGATGAACTTCCAACAATTGTCGAATATGTTGCTCTTGGTCTTATCATCGAAGGAAAATTAGTTGACAAAAAATGTGAAGCGGAATGGATGGCGGAACAATTGAGAAAAATGAGCAGAAACTCGAAAGAAGTGATCGAAAAATGCTGTGCACGTCTTTATACAATGGAAAGTTTTCTTTATCAAAAACTCAATGAAGCTATGTGATTGGTAGAAGATGAAGAGCATAGCCATTTATGGCTAAGCAAAGTACAAACATTTGGACCCTTTGCACTTCTCTTGGAAACATATATTATGGAGTCAGAACCTGGTGATCCGACAATCGTTTATCGAGGAGCGAACCTCACCGATGAAATGATTGAAAGCTATCATAAAATCCTTGGTGAGGCTAGAACTAACTGGAGTGATGATGACCTATGTCCGTTATTTCCAGCTTTTACATCATGTTCACGAAATCGAGCAAAAGCAGAACAGTTTGGAAATGTGTTATTTATTATCGAATTTACATTCAAGCGATCGATCGATGTGTCGACATTGTCTGATTATCATGATGAAGAAGAAGAATTGATCAAACCAGGAGTCGTTTTTCTCGTTGAGCAACTTGAATTTGATTCTGAATCGAATAAATATCTTGTCTATTTGAGTGTGGATGTGAGTGTGGGTGTATGGGTCTGGGTCTGGGTGTGGGTGTGGGTATGCGGTGTGGGTGGGGTGTAAGTGTGGGCTTGTGAGTGTGGGTGTGGTGGTATGTGAGTATGGGTGTGGGTGTGTGGATGTGAGTGTGCGTGTGAGTGTGGGTGCATGGGTCTGGGTGTGTGTGTGTGTGCGTGTGTGAGTGTATGGGTCTGAGTGTGGCTGTGGCTGTGTGGGTGAAACGAAAATACACACCCACACCCACACCCACAGTCACACCAACACTTACTGCCACACCCACAGCTACACCCACACCTACACCTACACCCCACACCCACACTCACACCCACAACTACACCCACACCCGCACCCGCTTCGTTAGTATCTATCTTTTATGATGAACGTGAGTAATTGTCAATCTTATCGCATATACTTTATTTAATGGCCAGACTAGAAATAGTTACTATTCAAACTTCATTTCCGAACGACATACGAAAAATCACTTGACAAACATTTTATCGCAATTTAATGCTACTGCAGTCCAATTGCAATTTTGTGCGGTTAGCTATTTTCAATTTCTCCGCAACACCATCTATTATGTACCATCATGTTCATGTCCGACGAAGGTTTTAATTTTCTTTTCAATTCTGCGTAGTATATCATTTTGAACAAATAAACAATGCTTTTTATCATGGGTAGTAAAAATAATCCCATCATTTGGACGTCAATAGCCTTCTCGTTTCGAGTTATACTTGGTCATCTATTCCTCGAATAGATATCTTTCAAGATGATGACATCACTAGTGAACAATTTACTTGTTTTCGAAATAAATACACTGCAGTCAGATCTATACTACTCCATGAATAAAGTAATAGCAGGAGAGCTCCAATTATCAAGATGAGAATCAAAATCGTGACGAAAATGAAAGTGGCTTGTTTTTGTTGAGATTTTTTTAGTCAAATGACTTATGAGAATGGAAAAAAACCGACTCCAAGAATTTTCAACTTTTCTTCCATAACGAGTTTCTATCTTTGAAACATCTTTGAGTATCAATGGATTAAACCCAAGGGAGAAAAAACGGACTTTATACTTGCAGTTAATTTTGACTACTTGAGAGTAGCTCGAAGTACTTAAAGTACTTTTCTATAATTTTAAAGTACTCTGTCGTACTTTAAACATACTTTTGGCGTACTTTCGCACACTTGAAGTCCGCTTTTTCCTCCTTGATTATACCTCTGGTTTTCATACGAAATGTTGATAATTAAATTGACAACATTTTAGTTTAATATATAATAGTGGTAAAGAGTGCCCACTTAAAACGAATCATAGAACCGATACCACTAAAGCATACTGCGATAGTCAAAAAATTTGTGTTACCTGTAAATCGTTTGAAATCCTGATTTCATGAAATTATAAAGAGTATCAATAATCCAAATAGAGTTATCAAATCTGCTACAAACGTTTATTTCGGATATTTTGATAGTTTTACCAGCTGAGCATGAATAAAACACTTGGAAGCCTATATATTGTCTCTCGTCTCATACAGCAAAGACGCTAGGTGGTCGAGCGGAATGAATAAACGAAAATGCTGTGCTATAGTTTCGTCAAATATCTATCGTCACTAAATTGATTTTTTTTATGCGTCTTGCTTGAAAAAAAGCAATAATTCATGTATTTGAATTGTTCGCCATAACATACAATTACATGTTTTTCGTCATTGCGGCAGTGAAGGTTTTGGATCTCTCGTGTGCACGAACAAATAAAACAGTATTCTTTTTATTACATATAGAGAGAACATTTTCGAGGCATTTAATTATACTATCGTTCTTATTTAGATCATGCACTTATTTATGATTATTTATGTGGTATAAATAAATTGTTTGCTTTACGGTAAGGTTGTTTCTTCTAAAGTATTAACGAGAAAATTCATTGTTCTCTCCTGTCGGAGACTGTTGGTGAATAAAGCCATGAGTTCATAGATGATTGATATGTGTGACATCTTCATCATCTCACCGCCGAGTGAACAATTACGAGTACTTTTGCTCCCAAAAAGATACTTGTACTCGTATTTCAACAATCGAACGAACGGGTCTAAAAGAACTAAGTTGTCCGTATTTATCAGTTTTCCTCTTTTTCTACGTTTTTCTTGAGCAAAGATTTTCATCAACAGATTCTTCATCGAGTTCTATGCCAATAGTGTAACAACTATTTTATTTTTGCTATACAGAATATTGTTTGAATTTTTTCTCTTACATCTTATAGCAGCGACGGAGTGATCAGTTAATTTACGCACAACGATCAGTGGTACACGAAATTCATAATCATCAACTATGCACATTTCATTGATGGTCCCTATTTTGATTGGATTTGTCGGTATTGAATCTTCAACCATCTCATCTATAAGACAATCTCAAACGCAAACAACTGTGGAAAGATTCGATTTCTGTCGAGCATATGCTCAAAACTGTGCTATACTCATGAATGCTATCAATTGCTCTGCGTCGAAAATTCAAAGTGGTTCATGCATCGATAATACCTTACAAACATTCAGTGGTATCTGTGCATGTGGAGGATTTGATGTCGGGTCAGACAGATTAATTGAAACTGTTATTGACTCACAGATTAAATCACGAATACCAAACTTATTGGTTTATACAGCATCAGGCTCAGTTGATGCATGTGCTAGTTATACTTCCATATGCACGACGTTCTTGTCATCAATCAATTGTCCTTCAGCGTGGCAAACATTGAAAGGATGTGCTGCGAATCTGCCAACAGATCGTTTCGCTAATGATACTTCATGTATTTGTGGCTCAATGGATACAGCATCTGATCGAATAAAGGAATTAATAGTTGATGTCATTATTGCTACTCATTCTCCTGTTTCCTCGACTGAAGGGAGAGTCATACAAAATACAATCCGTTTATTTGTGCATTTGTATGTTTTCTGGCACGTGTTTAGTCATGTGTTCACATATAGTTTTGAAACATCAGACTAACGATTCAAGATACCTACTATGTACTTTGCTTCCACACAATCACATATTTTCTATATTTCGCTCTTGTCTAATGAGATTGTTTTATAATCAGTTTCTCAAAACTAGAGTCAATGGTGCAAATAAGAGGAAGAGAAAGTCACTAGTCTTGTTCGACTTGGGTTCATGGTCGTTTTACATGCGGTTGAAATATTTTCACACCTAGATAATCGTTGAATGTTGCTCATTCAAATGATATTCCCGAAGACTTTTTCTATCATGTAGCGCCAGACAAAACAGCTGTCTATGATAAAGAACTCGTTTCCTTAATAACGACTTTCTAACAAAGTACAAGCAAAAATGTGCTTTTCGAGAAATAGGAAAAAGATCTCTGAAGTGCTTTTGTAGAGTGAGTCGAGGTCCATCATACTTTAGAGGTTCATGAGACACGAATTCTGATATAATCAACTTACGCCAGTTGAAAAGAAGACATCTAATCAACCGACAGAAAAATGTCTCTTACAACGTTGCATCCATCAAGATTTGTCTAATACTGAACATAAACCGAAAAACGATTTCTATATCAAAAGTCTAATCGAATGTAAACTTCTTACACAACTGTATTTTGTACGTCATAATAAATCAATTTTTTCTTCTCTGTGGTATCGATCAGGTAGTCGCGAAAAGTATTTTCTCTTTATCCTATTAATAGTCTTAATAGATCCATCGAAGGGAATTCGCTAATCACTAATATCAAATTTTTTGGAATCAGTCGGATAATAAGAGACATCTAGGCAGAGATTTGTGTGACCATGACTTTTTAGTCACAGTCACATTCACATTCATAGCTGTAAGAAATTTAGGAATTCTGTGACAGTTACAGTCACTGATACTGAGAGGATTCGACTAACGAAAATAAAAACATCTTTTAATAATTATAGAAATTAACGATTTTTCTTAAGTAAATATTGGTTTATGAAAATTCAATCAAATTCTAGGATAGTGGCCTAGAATTCATATCGCTAGATTAAGTTGTAATAAAAAATCATCACATACTACCCTAGTACACAATCGAATTCTTCTACTTTCGTAAATCATGGTTTCTACATTGTTAATACATACTAATCTCGAACAGCTTTTAAAGAAAAACGATACCACAATCACATTAAAAAAGACTTAACAGACAGATCAGTGTTTATCTTGTTGTCCAAGATCTAGCCTTGTATTTATGAGAAGTGTTGTTTAAACTGCTCTATTACGCGACAAATGTCGAACAATTATTACTTATAAAAGTTCAACTAGTATTGATGGTTTAAAACAAAACATGTATTGCCGTATGAGAGAGATACATGATCAGATGGAACGCAATCAACTATTACAACATATTTTAGTAATAATAAATCACCAGTTGTACCAGGAAAAAATTAAACAAAAAATAGCTAATGCTTAAATTGAATTTATTGTATTGAATGGCTATTCATTCAAAGCTGCATCTCAAATTAGTTTTAAACAATTACTTGAAACAGTTTTTAAAGCAGAACAATCAAGGGGTGGGATGTTAAAAGAAAGCCCAACATCGGCACCCTACACATACGCTTCAACTCTCTGCTTATTTTCAGCTCTTTAATTAGATGTTTAATAAATTCATTCTTTTAATTTTTTCAAGCTGAATTAAATAAGACAACGCAGAGCGAAAGCTACTAATGAGACCCTTGAGAAAGACTGAAACTAGTTGTAGCTTTCTTTTTCGTGATACACATCCACACCTATACCCAGATTAGTATAGTTTGCTTGTTTTTAATAATGAGTATCTAGCGAAAAAAGTTCAGACTTCATTACATAGCATGATATTTTAATCATAAATAACAGATAACAATCAAACAATTAGAAAAATTAGAAAAAACATTTTTTTTTTTACCACACTATACATTTAATTTAGATTATAAGAAAGAAAATACTTATTAATATGAAAAGTTGGTCATAATATACACTGGTTTCATAGTAAGGGGAGAAAAGCGGACTGAAAGTATGCCAAAGTACGGCAATATTACGCCAAAAGTACGTTTAAAGTACGACAGAGTACTCTAAAATTACAGAAAAGTACTTCCAAGTAGCCCAAATTAACTTCAAGTATAAAGTCCGCTTTTCTCCCCTTGTTTCATAGACACAATCGCATTTATGATATGCACTGCTGATTTTCTCTCTCGATAACGCATAAAATGTTTTGTGAAAGTAATGATGGAAAATTCATTTTTGTGACTGGATAGTGGTCTTGAACGACCTCCTTCACCCATTGGCCGTCGACATAAAAGAGAGAAAAAAAGCTCTACAGAAAATCATCATAGCTATTTATTTTCGATCCAGTTTTACAGATTTATACAAGATAACGTTAAATCATTTGTAAGGTATGAAAATCTTTGAAATAGTCGGTGATGCACAGTCCAACATCGCATTCGGTACATTGGTAGCGCGTATCACTTCGTTCCTTCGCACGTCGTTCAGTATTGCTGCAAACATACCATCTTCTTCGGGGAGTCTAGTTGCTTTCATTTGGAGGAATTAAAGATGGAAAATGTCTGGCCGTCAATCGTAGTGGATGAACACTCAATGGTCTGCCAATATGCGACCTCTTCGAGTTGTACTTTGAACTGAGGTCTCGAATAATTTCCAATTTAAATTTGGAAAGCTGGAAGTTTTGATGCTTCATATTTTTGAATAAAATATAACTATTGAGAACTGATAGATCGATTATGTAGAAAAAGAGTTTCTTGTACCATTTTGTGGCTTTTCGAAGAGATTCCGAAGGGTGTGGGTGGGATGGGTGTGGGCATGGGTAAGCGTGTTTCAGTTATTTGAGGAACAAAAATACACCCACATCCACACCCACACCCACATCCACCCACACCCCACACCCCCAATATGTTGCGTTTCGGTTCACACAACGTAGTTTCTCTTACCATGACACAATCTTTGTTTAGTAGACAACTGATCCAAAACCGGCATTTTTTATGTGAAACAGTATGCTTAATTTTCACAAACTTAGTTCAATGATAATATTGGCTATGAATAAAAAGATGTTATTCAATATGATAATGTACTGTCTCCTGAATGATGTTGATCAAATTTCTTTACATAGATAACGACATCAAATGATGATGAACCTTGTTCGAAATTTTCTAAATGATAATAAGCAGAATTCGGACTTTCTCTCCTATTTGCATATTATGTCATATGAGTTCAAACGTTGAGAAAATCATTTAATTATGATTTCTATCTGTTAATAATGAGGTTGAGTGTATTCCATCAAATGAAAGTATTCAAATAGATAGAGAATTGTGCTTTCTTTGCTTTTAAAGTCTTAAGTCAAACTGTAAAATACTGTCTTTCAGTTAACCATTGAATATCTTAGAAGAACTAGTCAATTACTTCTAAACCTAGTTCATGTTTAATCTTCAATAGCACTATACCACACAGGACTACGTAAATATGTGCATGAGCCACTGCAGTGTTACTCAACTCAAATATCGATACCATGACAGAACCAGCATTATAGTTCACAACAGGGCGTTATTCATTTAACAAAGGAGTCAATCGTTTTCTGGCATTTATTATTAATCCTCATTTTTAGAAACCATGACTATGTTGTTCGACTGATTTAGTTGAAAATCATCATTCAATGATTAATTATTATACGCTTTGTAATATGCTTGTTGTTCGATCATTAAATGATGAAAGGTCATAAATTGCTCTTCTTTTTATTCATTAGTCTATGTTTTCAGAAAGAAACGTTTACTAATGTGTCTTCAAAATAAAACTTGCCCGACACTTGAATGAAATTATAGTGTATGAAAAGATTGTTTTTAGTTATTTGTTTATTTCGTCAAATATGCACAATTGTTACAAAAAAAGAAAAGAAATGGTTGCTCATATGGATTTAAAAGATATACGACAGATTCTTATCGTCATCGAATTGCATATAGGATATTGAAGCTGACATTTATTTCATCAGTATTCATCGCTCTCATGACTAAGCATCAAACATGTATCTAATTAAGGTTCAAATTCAGGACTTTTGTGCCGTTGCCCTAATGACGTTGCATAGTGAAGCTCAGGACTATCTTCATCGCTTATACTATTTTCTTCCGTTTTGTAGTCGAATTCAAAATTTTTATTGTTGTTCCCAGGACCCTGGGCTACTACGTTGTCAAGCTGAAGATTTGAGTGGCGGGGCGGACATGCGCGGATTATCATGTAGTCAAGCTCAGGCCTCTCTTTCAAGTTGTCTGGATACAGAAACTTATCAGAAGTAAGCCTACAAGCCATTGGTGCGTATTGAAGCTTATGTTGAACTGGAGATTTTCGCACAGGTTTGGCATTGGCTGCAAACTGAAGATGATATTTTCTTTTATTTATCTTTGCAATATTATTTCTGGTCACAATAATATCTTTGTGATTGGGTGGAAGTATTTTTTGTTTCATATTCAATGACTGTTCATAATACTCTAATGCATGATCAAGATTATTCAATTTGTGATAAACGACTGCAATATTGTTCAATGTCACAGCAATATCAATATGATAAGATGATAAATATTGTTGTTGACTTTTTAGAACATTTTGATAATATTGCAATGCATGGTTATATTTTCGAGTTTCTGTATATATATTACCAATATTCATAAGTATTTTGGTTGATTTTATATGTTCTCTTCCATAATATATATTATATATTGCTAAAGATTTCATATATAATTCATATGCACGATCGTATTGACCTTTTCGATGATAAACAAGACCTATATTTGTCAATGGTTTTACTGAATCTTTCATTCTTATTGGTTTATTATTCATCATTAGGTTATAAGCCAGTTCATAGTATTGAAGTGCCTGTTTAAAATCATCTTTATGATAATAAATCGTTCCAATTAGATTATTAATTGTTGCAATATCATCCTTTTCTGTATGATCATCTAATAACAAATTTTGAAAATATTTTAATGCTTGATCATATTGTCCCATGTCAGCTAGTAATTTACCAAATATAAGTTCAATACTTGTTTCTTCTTCTTCTTTTCTATTAAGTTCAATATATTCTTTAGCAATTTTTGTTCCTTTATTACTAGCTCTTAATTTAATTAACCATAGATTTAATTGAAAATCTTCTTTAACAGAAATTATTTCAAATGTTGATCCAAGATCGAATAAAACTTCTGATTCATTTGCATAAACACTAAATTCTGTAATATCAGCAAAAATGATTGTATCTAATTCTTGTATATTACATTCAATTTCATATAGAACTGGAACAATATCTGAACGTTTGGGCGATTTTTTAGCAAATTTAAGTGCAACATTTTTTGAACGACTTGTTGATAGAAAACCATTTGTTGATATTAAACTACCTTCATTTTGTTTTAAAGTTTTAAGTTCTTCTTCTTCCATTTTTAGTCCACGATAAAGTATAAGAATTTTTTCACTTTTATTTTTCATTTTTTCATATTCAATTGCAAGATTAAATGATAAATCAGCAATAAAAAAATCGAAATATACGTAATTGTTCAATGTTTTCAGTTCTCAATGCTTTGTTGACTATTTTATAGAGAAATGTCTCTTTCGTATACCATTTAATAGCCATATTCGATTTATAATCATATTCAAATTCACGAATAAATTTTAATTCTTTTTCATTTTCACGATAATAATGTTGACAAAATTCAATCACTTGTTGTTTTGCATGATTATCTCTTGGTAATCTCAAAATAACATCTTTAAATATTTGAAATCATAGAAATTCTGCTGATTCTTTTGATAAATCTCTTGTAGATTTTTGTTTATGTTGATTATAGAAATTAAATGTTTCTAAATGTTTTTCAACAAGAATAATATTCTCTTTAAGAGAATTAAGTAATTCATGACGTTTTGTATAAATTCCAATTAGTTTAATATATGTTTGTAATAGATATTGATATTTTTTAGGTTTTAAACAAAAAATAAATATTGAATCAATTTGTTTTAATGCATGAACTCTTATTAAAATATTTAAAGCATCTCTTCCAGATGTAACAAGAAATATTTTTTTCATTTGTAATCGATTCAATATAATCAATACAAGTTTTTAAATCAATATGAAATACAATAAAATTATTGATTTCACGTAATTCTTTCATTGTTTCTTTCGTATCATTAGTTTTATCAATATTTGAATCATACCAAATTAATCTAGTACTTTCTAGATTTTCTTGTAGATTCAAATCTTTAGCTACCGTTGATAAAGAGGCCGATGCTAGTGAATATTTAAGATCTGGTATGTTTGAAGAGTAATCAAATGTAGACTTACCGATGGCTGTAGCTGTTGCTTCGAATCGTCACCATTATTCTTTAATGGCACATCTGTCTTTTTTGATGTATTTGTCGATTGTTGTTTTGGTTCTTTGCTCATAATAGTTCTTAAAAAGAAAAATGTATACTCTCTATTGAATAATGAAATAATTTTCTATACTGAATGTGGGATGTGCATGTGCCTTTTATATTCTATGTGAAATAGGCTCACACATGTGTGCCCACATTGTCACATGCACCATTATCTATTTACCCCTAAATCTGGATTTCTATACCTCAACTCTTGTTCGTGTAATACTTAAAAACTTATAACTATAGTTGCAACAAAAAAATATTCGTACGATTTCTTTCTCGATTAAAGATAGTCAACATACAGACTTTCTAAAGACTTGATGAATATAAAAAGAATCACCACGTCTTTTAGTATTTACATTATAAAAATCATGCATGTTTTAGTGACAAAAATTATTCATGCAATTTCAAGCACGATGACATTTTTTGTTATTCATGATTTAAAAAAAGTTATTAATAAAATCGTTACAGATAGGAAAGAACCAGTGTTACATTTTAAATTTACTATTGTAGAACTGTGAATGTTCATTTATCTGGCTTAACTCTCATTGATGTTATTTAAACATACGATTTGTCATCTAGTTCTCTCTAAAATCCAATAACGCTAATGATTGACATTTTCTGTATGATGTTAAACTGTTTTGCTTGCCCGCTAGGTTATTCTTACCTTAATATGTACCTTTCTTCTATCATCCTGTCTTCGAGAACATCAGAGCTATGAAGTAAAAAAAACCAGAAAAAATATATCATTCTTGTTATGAGATGCATTTCAAAAATATTTTGAACAAATTGCAATTTACAATTTTCTTATACGAACCTTTCAAAGTAAAGATTCTCTATTTTTGAATAACTAAGTGTATTTACTCCATGGAATTGGATCATGGAATAAACAGTAAGCTCGTGTCTCATTTGTTCTTTCCTGTCTGTAATGACTTTATAAATAAATTCTTTTAAATCATGAATAACAAAAAATGTCATCGTTCTTGAAATCATGTGAATTATTTTTGTCATTAAAACATGCATGATTTTCAAAGATTGATCTATTATTCAACATAGAGACAGTCAAGAGCGATGATTGTTATAATGTAAATACTAGAAGACATGGTGATTCTTTTTATATTCAAGTCTTTAAAAAGTCTATCTTTTGACTATCTTTAATCAAAAAACAAATCGTACGAATGATTTTTGCCGTAACTTCATGTCTAAGTCGTTATTTCTATATGCTATAACCGCTATATTTCAAGATGAACTGAAAATATCCTTTCTAGTATAGTGGTAATACAGCTGCTTGCAACGCAGAAGATGCTTGGTTTGAAGATTACTCTTTTTCCGTGCTATTCCACTGATAACAACTTATAACACGACACTATAACCACTTATTTCTATACAGTAGATAAAGAATATAAGTGTATGAAACAAATCAATAAGAGCAGACATTCTTTTAATGAGACATTACAAAGTAGCAAAGTTTTTAGAGTCAACAAAAAATCGTCATCAGTGCTTCTCATCTACGTTACAGGCATTTTTTCTTTCTTTTCTGCTTTTCGTCATGATTATTGTGAAAAGAAACGAGTAATTTCGTTTTCATACTGTTCAGAACGAAAAGAAAAGTAGACTAGAAAGAAAAATTACGTATATCATAAAAGAGAAGCACTAATAATGATGTCTTGTTAACTCCAAAAGCTTTGCTTATTTCCATTGTCTCAATAAAAGAATATCTGCTAGTCATTCACATGATTAGATCATCTGAAAGAAAAAACAATTCTTATTTTATAATACTGACGGTTGAAATCTGTAGAAAATCGCCGATTAACCACTGAAAGTGATTTATTTTGGTGACATCGTTTTTTTTCTGTTAATTAGATTTGAAAATTTATGCTACAGAATTTTCCCCAAAAACACTGTTTTGAGAATGGCAGAATCCTTTCTGTTAATAACCCATGTAGAGAAAAAGTATCCAATAAACATCACCTATGGCTAAATCAATTACATATTTGCAATATTTCATAAAAGATAGATTTCTCTTTATACTTGAAGTTAAAAAAGCATGCAATAAAATAATCCATTGGGACGAAGAATTTGAACTTTCCTAAAAATGCTCTTTGTATGTTAACATTTCAGAGACATCATTATTATTAATTTTTAGTTGATACCAGAAGGAACTCAACTAGCGCCTAATCGACTTCCACAGGTGCCTTCACAGTCATAATACACCTTTTAAACTTTTCCTTAGCTGAAAAGTATACTGTTTCGATTGTTTTATAAAAAGCAGTAAGAAAACAGATCATCTTAAGGGTGTGAAGTATGAATCTCTTCTTCACATCAATCCATACTCGAACCTTAAACACTCAGGTATTAACTAAACTGAACAGAAAAAAAAGCGAGTTCTAGATAGAGATCTTAGTGCGTTCCAACGAATTCAAGCGATCGATTCATCGAAATTTCGTCTGCTTTGTTCGAATCCTATGATCCTGAATCCTGTTTTACTGCTTGTATTTATAGACAGGCCATCTGTACCAGAGTAGAGTTTTTCAACTAGCGATACTAATTAATAAACAATTTCTCTCAACAAAAAAAAATGAACTTTGATGTTTAAAAACAGTTTCATTATATTTTACATCCAAATCTCTCAAAGACTGTCCTAACGTTTGTTAACGACGAATAGTACCAGATAGTAGGAAAATAATCAAGTAGCATATAACTATTCATTACAGAACAAGATTCCATTGAAGTAATTTTGTAAAAATGTATTGAACAATTTCAAAATATTATTCTATTCAAGAAATTATCATACTGTGTCATAAAAATCCATATAACTTTTTCATATAACTGGAAAGTGACATTAAATTATATATTCTTTTCTGAATTATCAAGATAAGATATTTCGAATATTTCAAAAACTGTCAGATTAGTTAAATAGTTCTTGAAAGGAAAGTTTCTATCTAATGTTGAGAATATTTAAACGTATCTATGATTGAAAAATGCTAAAACAATGATGCTTACACCGAGAAAAAAACTGCTGTGTGTATTGGTATATGAATTAGATATATTGAGTGAAAGCATACATGTTCGACTACCAACAGAGTAGAAAGAAAACAGTGAAAATCATTTTTACGTATTTGCTTTTACAAGAGAATCACAAAACATTACAGCACAACAAAATCAAGGTCAAATTATGATGATTCATTCAGACAAATGGAAAATAACTTTTTATGTGCTTTAATTTTATAGAATAATTTTAAAAAAAAATCATGTGCAGTTTTATACAGTCGTTAGGCACGAATTATTATTCAACTAGACAACAGTGTGTTTTTAAATATTAACATTACAAATAAATTTATCGCATAAAAAATATAAATTTAAGATATTTTCCTCCAAAGTTTTTTTTGTGTGATGATGTATGCATACAATCCTGTTATGTACATATAGTATATTAAATCTGTGTTCGTTTATATACCTCAAAAAAGTTGAAGAGTGTGAGTAAATATTGGAGTGATGTTCAATCTACAACTCTCGCTGAAGTTTTTATTAGAATGTCCCATTTTCTCTTTTATATCATGTGTGTTTGTTAAAGTTTCAGTAAATTTTGGGTGTTATTAACTTCGATTGTTGGAAAAAGTCGTATTTTTCGAAATCTTTTATTTTTTAAAACAACTGCATAAACTCTCGTTCGTCAAGAAAGATTTAAGGTTGTAAGTCATGTAATGAAGTTTTCTTGTGCATGAGGAGAGATAGATTACGTTTTAGAATTTTGGTTTTTCCTTAAAACTTATTATTTTCATCTTAGCTTTCTTGTTTTTTTATGCATGTTTATTTCAGATTCTTTTGTTTATATTAAAGACTTCCAAACGTTATTAAAATATGAACTATATGCGGTGCGTATAAAGCAAAATTACAGTAGATTTTAATTTTCATCGATTTATATATGATTTAATGGAGCTGCTATGAATATAACTATTTGTTTTATTTCAATTAGAATATTCTTCATGACAAGACATCTCAAATACTGATGAGACTACATATAGAATTAAAATCATTCTTTTTGTTTTCATTATCTATGATCATCGTTGGTTGAACTCTTTGAAAAGAATTTTTCTCTGTAATTCACCATCAAAATCAGAATAAGAAAATAGTATTTTCTAAGATTTAAAACAAATAGCATGAAAGGTCACTATCAGTGTGTGTAGAGTTATAGCATGTATTTAAAGATACTTGGGAACCTATCGACTTGTTTGATGTGACATTTTATTGTTGAGAAAACCGAACGTACATTCATTTTAATAGTGAAATAGTTTTATGTATTTTAGTTTTTATTAATAAAATTCAATCGAAAAATAAATTAAACAACTTATTCAGAATTAACATCAAAATCTACACGATCACATGTATATTTTAGCTAAATCATTTTTCCACAGAAAATGTACGGGTATTCTTCCTTAGCATTTTTTTCTCAAATTTTGCATATGGTCAATTTTTATATTTGACAGAGAATTTACTACATTTTAGATGGTTGGTACAGGTTTTCCCACTGATTCTCAATATATTTTTCTTTTTCAAATCGAGCTCTGACAATAAGAACTGCATTCGATAAGGGCAGTTGACTTCTAAAATGAGTTGATGTTTTACTTTATCAACAATAAAAAAATCTTAAAAAATAACTAAACGAACAATATTATAGTTCAAAATCGACTGATTTCAATCAGGTAAGACTTTTGTTTTTATGTTTTACTACAAAAAGTCTACTTCTCGTTTTATCTTTTATACCACAGATTGGTAAGCTAGAGCGCCTCCATTCAGATTCCATGTCCATCTTTGTAGTAATTCAATGTCTTCGCCTAAGCACAGACGATTTCCTGAAAGCTTTACAGTTCTGAAGATCATGCTTCGAATATGACGAATTGTCACACCTATAGTTATAGTAAAGTGATTTACATAAAAGTTGAAGAAGAAGTTAATTAGGGCTATCTATCTTTAAGGACTACATAGTTGACAAATACGAATGATGCAAAAAGGTATAAAGTGAGTTTATATCGATACAGAACACAGTAGAATTCTTGATATTCCATCAGATACAGGTGATAACCAAGTTTTGCAACACCTTGTAGGCAAATACGTGAACAACTTGTCACGATAGATCGTTGTTTGGATGCTTCAATAATGATTTCATCAAATCGACAAAAGAGATATAGTAAACCTTCGAACGGATCAGATATATGACCTTTAAAAATGAAATACTCAGCCCAATAGTCCTCAAAGGTTGTTGAACGACACAACTCAGCTGGCTTGAACTCAATTCGAATATACCTATGACAGAGTTATTTTCACAAACAATTCAGGAAAATATCACTCGATGGATAGAGTATGCCAAGGTTAACTCATAGAAACAGCAACTATCGAGATTTTGTTAGCCTGAACGTAACGAACACATTGCACTTCGAATTAAAGGAAATGTGCAAGTCTGTCGAATCGATTTGAGCAGAGTAAGAATATAGTATATTATCAGGTACATCGGAATTGGCCTTGATTTTATTGGAAATAACGAATTCGGAAAAAAACGAAAAAAAAACAGTCGACGTCTTATACGCTGAAGTGTCGAGACAGTTTAATAGTTCTCGCAACCAACTCAACATCCTCCACCTCCACCTCCACCTCCACATCCACCACCTCCACATCCATCACCACCACCACCACCCCCACCTCCACCTCCACACCCACCACCACCACCTCCACCTCCACATCCACCACCACCTTCACTTGATGAGAATATAACAACCGGTGCCATTATTATTGCGCAGGAGCTAACATATTGCGATGTGCGCAAGTTATCTTTGTCAATATCTTTGCCATAATCTACCTTGTAAGTCATCTTCCACTGTTCAGCTGTTTTCTGATAAGCATCGACTAGAATATCATTTTCTAGCGAGTCGTCATGATCAAGAAGAAAACCACATAATGCTTTCGACGTGTTTTGATAAGATAATGGAAACCTCATATGTGTATGCCATATCAAATCAATATCGAATGTTGGTACAATGATTTCATCTATTTTTGCTAGTTTTAAAAATGAAATATAATTTTGTACCATTTGTTCAAATAAGTTTCGATTCAATAGTCGTAGATCCATTGAAAAAAGTCTATGTTGCTTAAATTTTTCAAGAAAATCATGTTGACGAACTACGGCTTTTGCCAGATCGATCGAAGGAATAAACGTTGAAGGATTTCTTATTGATTCGAATAAATTCACTGAACGGAATTTTCGACGTCGTTTTATTCTTAATCGTCGGTAACTTTTATCGACAAGTTTACTATTTGGTAATTGCTTAGTACAATCGTTGTTATAGGCAATTGGATGAAGACGATGAACATGCCAGACCCAGTCGATTTGCCATGGAAGTCTCCGTTGTTTATTCCTGGTTGCAATTTCTTGGCGAGCCATGCGTCTACAATAATCATCGATATAATAATTCAACGTTTCACCTTGCTGCGTCATTTCTGGATGCGCAATCACTCGACGAAGCAATACAATATGATCAACAAAATCATGAGAAGATAATCCAAATGTCTTTCCATCACTTGTACGAATATTCGCATTAAAATGTGATATTGAAAATGAATGTGAACTGCCCATGTCTTGTCAATGCTGTTGTTGAATAACTGTTACTGTTTTATTTCCAAATAAGTTATGCTTAAGACTAAAACAGTTCAATGTTCATTATTTCTCATGATATTATGGTCATGGAGAAACAAAATGGCATTTGTTTTCGCGAAACCTTCTAAATGACAAGAGCACTGGCCGATTTTCATGAGTTCAGCAACGTTTTAGAGAGAGGCTGTAAGGGAAAGAATCAAAAATATTAAAAACTTTACCTGCTATTTACTTAGAGGAGAAATAATTGATTTTATTAAAAATGTTTTATCGATTTTACAACAAAATAAGATCTCTTTAATCAAGTTTGTAAAAAAAGTCACTCATGCAAAAAGGGTTAGTTTTGAATGATTTGTGCGTTAACCTTAAGTGTTTTCTTATAATTTAAGTCGGTATGTAAGATTTGGGTGTTAAAAGAGGACGATTCGTATACTGAAAGAATGAGATCTAGCGTGATAACTATCAGAAAAAGTCATGCTTTTGATGTTTCCAATTATTTT